CCCGGCCGGCGGCGGCGGGCCATCTCACCCTTCGCACAGGGAGGGCTGGCGCGGAGCAGCCTCCTCGCGTGCTTGCGCGGCGCCCAATCTGACCAAATAGCAATTCATTGAAATCATTCGGGTCACCTCTTTTTTAAGCACTTGACCAAGCCTATTTCTATAGAAAAGGACAGGAATCTATACCTGCCCGGTCACACACATCATCTCGAGCACGGAATCTACTACTCTAACAAGATACTCGGCTCGGGTGGGCTCTCCTCGTGTAGCTTTTTGTTCTCGAGGAAGAAAATCTCATTGATTACTTATAATGCCGGATGAAGCAAGTTACAGCCGGTTAACTGCTGACTTTCTTTGCTAGCTCACCCGAAACTCTGTCTTCAGGAGGAAAGCTTGCTTGAGTACCTTACTTGAAAACAAACCGCTTGAGCTGTAACCGAAACAGAAAGGTTTGATGAGCCGCTGCTTGCTCTCTAACTGCTCAAGTAAGAACTCTGGGGAAGGAATCCGATCTGCAGATGAAGCAGAAGCAGGCAAAAGGCGAGCGCACAGCGAGGAATTTTCCATACTAGATCGACTCAACATTACCGAATCTACTCTGAGACTCGAGCTATCTAAGCATCCAGGGAAGTGATTCCACAAGCTAGAGAGATTCTCCTCTTTTCTTTTTCAGAGTTGAGCTCAGGCTAAGGCGCATGCCTTCCGTTCCTTGCTTGCTTATGCACTTTTGAATTAGATCCTTGTTATCAATGCCAACTAGGTATCATAAGTAAATGGATCCCGGTTGTTCAATCGTTTGATAACCAAGGTCATTCTTTGCTAAAGAGAAATGATCACTATGAGTCAGACTCAATAGAATTGGATCCATTCCAAATAGCGAGAATTAGGATTCTTGATCCCTCTTACCACTTTAGGGGATGGGGGTGAAGGGGGTTTACATACAACCGGGGCAAAGTGGTTTATGATTGAATCTCAGAGGCATTCTTATCAGAGAAATGGGCAATTGAAGCATCTTTCTGTCTATCGACGACAGAGTCTATTGATTTTCCACAATCCGGTAATGCTTTTTCTCAATTCAATGCGGAGACCCCATTTCCTTTTGATCGTATTACGCTTGACTCGCTGCAAAACATTTCGCTTTCTGCGCCACGCTCGTACGTGGTTTACACTCCTAGCTAGCGTAGCGCCAGCCGTCGAAGTGAATGAATTCGAAAGAACGCAGAAGTAAGGAAATGAGACGACTCTTTCTTGAACAATTTCATAAGCAGATCTTCCCCTCCACACCAATCACGAGTTTTTTTTATTTTTTGGGGTTGATAGTGGAAAAGTCGAGAGATAAGTCACCCTTACTGTCCCTTTACAGAACCGTACATGAGATTTTCACCTCATACGGCTCCTCGGTCAATTCTTTCGAAGGGATCCTTTTCCTCGTTCAAGAGTCTCCGCCCTTCTTCCACTCCGTCCCGAAGAAAACGTTCGGTTCGGATAAGTAAAGCCAAGGTCGAGGGAGCAGGAAAGAGTTTGTTATTCGCTATTGGCTTAGTACGGCCTATACATAATAGGGGCTCTCCCCCTTTTTTCACTTAGTTTAGTTGGAATGGAAAGAGAACTTCCTTTAGTTTTTCTTTTTTTTGTTGCCTGGTTCGGTCTCTCCGAGTGGAATAAGTGGGTCCTTCTTCTTTTTCCTGACTGATGAAGGTCGAAACCTCGATCCATCCCAGAGTAGCCGTCGGCTGGACGGCGGCGAACGGGGGGCAAACTCCTCAAAACGAAGTTCTACTTTGTCTTTGGAAGAATTGGAAGAAGCTGTCTTTCTTTGATGGTAGTGTCCTTTCTTCACGCTCACCATCTCTGCAGAGCTTAACAAGATAATCCACACCAACAACCAAAGCCAAAAAGCCTTCGCTCAGAAGCAGGAGAAGATAAGAGAAACACCATCTGGTAAGGTTGGATCTATAAAACAACGTTGGTTGACAGAGCTATCTTGACATTATAGGTGGGGTCTTTGGATAGCAGGTATGCTGTGTCAGAGAGCATTGGTGAGATTATTCCTGATGCTTTTATAGTAGCAGCAGTCTCGGTAGCAGAAGTAGATCCGAGTGTAGGGGCTTCGAAGAGTGAATAAGTTTGTTCGTAGTGATGTGTAATCTCTTCAAATTGAGAGAAGAAGTGTAAAAAAGAAATGCTTTTAGGCAGGCTTACTCGGCAGGGCACGGCGGCGCGATGTTGAAGGCCGTTCCGGCGACGGCGGGGGCTGCTGGCGATGGGCGGCGGTGTGCCCCGCCGCGGCAGCGGCAGCATTATCCGGCTCGGCCCTGACCGGATCCTGCCCGTGGCGGGCGGTGACGCAGTGGTTGTGCCTGCTGGAGTCGGGGACGACGGCTGGCGAGGCGCAGCTCGGCCAGATCTGACCTCTTGCAGGGCGGGTCATGGACGGCGTGGGTCAAGGAGGGCGGTAGTGATGCGAGCCAGGGGTCGGGGACGGCGGCAAGCGGCCCGGCCAGATCTGACCTCACGGCGGCGTGGGCCGCATTCGGCTAGGGCTGCGGGCGGCTGCCTCGACCGGGGCCATCTCGGCTGGTCGGGGTGGTGGCACAGTGGCGGTGGGAGCGGCTCTGCCCACGGCAGCGACCAACTTCTCCGGTGTCGGCTCGTCTGCGTTCAGACCGTCTCGACCTTCGCCCCATCTCCTCGTCATCCAGGCGTTACTCCCATAAAAAAGGACTAGTCCTCACCTAGTTGCGGTCCACCGCTCGTCTCGCGTCCGGTGCTGCAGGACCAAGCTCGTCTCGCGCATGGTGCAGCGGGATCGAGCTCATCTCGCGCACGGTGCAGCAGGACTGACCTCGTCCCCCTCTCGGTGCCGCAGGACCGAGCTCGTCTCGCGCTCGGGGCAGCAGGACGGGTCGGTGGATGCCAGTTCTGGCCGGCCTATCGGGTCTCGACGCTGGGGGCCGCCTAGGGGTGCGAAAGGTGGGACCTTTCCGCTCGTCTCTTTCATTGGGGTGGAGGCGGGTCTCGTGTGAGGTGGTGTCAAGGTCTTGGATGCCGGGGCGGTGGCCCTGGTGGTGGTAGCACGGTGCTTTTGGGCAGAGCCCGTGCTGTGGCGCTGCCCGGTCACCATGGTCGTGTGGGCGGCGTGGTTGCCGGGATGTGGTGTTCGGTGGCGGTGAGTGTTGGCCGAGGTGAAAACATGTTCTATCTTCGGACGGACCGGCGGCGACGAAGATCATTCCCTTCCTGAAGGCGTTGTCGCGGCTCTCATTGCCCGTCATGCGGCTCCAGGGGAAACTCTGATCCTTGGATCGGGCGGTGGCGGTGCTCCGGTGTCGTACCCTTCCTGAAGGCGCCACCTTGGAGCACATGGTTCGTCATATGTAGCTTCATCTCTTCGTGGTGGTAGTGCTAGGAATGGTGTTGCTGCGCTCAGCACCTATGTATCCTGCCTTGGGTGTGTCTGTGTGTGTGTTGCGGTGGTGTGTGTTTGTACTAGATGCTTCATGGTCGGTGCTTTATATATAAAGCGGGGCGAAAACCTTTTTCGGAAATATGTAATGTATAACCTTTTGTAACCTAAAATAGTCAAGAAATAAGCTGAAGACTTGATCTAAATTACAAATAAATAAATTAGCCTTGAAATGTGGCTTGTAAAGTACACTCCCTCCCCTTCCACTTTATTGGCAGGGCTATTGGAGTTTTGTGTTCTGTTTTTCGGATAAAATTAGGGGTTGGATCCAATCAACAAACTACCTCGAAGACGGATGACTTAGAGAAGCGCAAAACCATCCTTGCTTAAGTCCGAGCTTAGCATATTGTCCCTGTAAACATGATTGCATTAACAATTCACAAGGCTCGGCATAACTTGAAAAGCACTATCTGGTCATTTGTCTAATCGACAACACGGGATGGCAAGGAGATTGTCTCCTGAAGAATACAAAAAAAAGATACCTGATTTGTCAGCTGATTTTTGAATTTCTCTGGATTTCTCTTCCTTTCGGAATGAAATGCATAAGATATTTCTGCATCCATCCCTGCAACATGCAAAAACATGATCATCATGTCTGACAACCCAGGTTTTTCACAGCAATATATGCTCGAGGGTTCATGAAAGGAACTTGGGATTTTTAATCTGCTATGGAATTAAACAGTTAGACAGTGTAGGGTACATACATAAAGTTCATTCATAAACAGTTAAACAGGTAGAAAGTGTATGGTATGTGGTTCATGTTGGCAATAAATTAGGTAGTACATTGAGAAACCCTTACCCATACTAAAGTAATTCCAAAATCCTCCGCGGAGTGTGTGGTAACCTTCCTGGAGAAACAAGGAAAAATAAAAATGGAAACTTTGAATTAGATTTGGTAACTAGTTGTCTTACTTTGATGGAACATATTTATCAAGAAACATAATACCATAAGAAATACTTGCATAAAGATATATTTTTTTCTCGACATGCATGTTGGGATCCACCTTATGTGAGATGTGAGGAGATGACCATTTGAAGACTCTAGTCAGTCCAAAGTTGTGCAAGAGCCCATTACCAATTAGTGTTGTGACCTAAGGACATTTTTAGACTTTGAACAAGGGGAAAGCAGGTGTCTAGCCTCCCATGCAGAAGCCACCAACACAAGCAACAAATTTCAGGTTAGCCTCCATTGGAGAAGAGAAGAGAAAGACAAGAGATAAAGGAAGGAGAGGAAGATTGAAGAAATAAGCTTGCCATCAAGCAAAGGTATCTCATCTGGTAGGAACCGGATCCCTACCAGGGCGTGGTCTCGGGTTGTAGGGGTGGAAGGAGGGATGACGTGAGGAAGGCGTGGTCGCCGGCACTGGGGCGCCGTCGTTGCATGCGCGTGAGAGAGAGAGCAGGGCCGGCGGCTAGGGTTAGGTCTCCCGGCTCCCTAAGGAAGCCGAGCAAATATGATTGCTTCTTGCTTAATCCCAAAACGGGTCCTTACACGAGTTTATATAATCCTCCTAATAAGATAATTGGGCTAAGCCCCTAATAACGATAAGATAAACTGGGCCACAACTAACTGGGCTAAGCCCCTAATATGCCGGTCATAACATCTCTCCTCACCTGCACAAACAGCTCGTCCTCGAGCTGGAAGGCGGGGAAGATCAACGGTCGCCAAACACCTCCGCGTCAACTGGGGCGGGCTGGTCGCCGAGCCCGGCGGCGGCGGGGTCCTCCTCAATGCAGTATGCAACCTTCAAGTAGAAGAGTCGTGGGCAAACGTGGCCCGGTACGTAGGGCTCGTCACGGTTGAAGCACAACCCTTGGCGGCGACGCTCGAGTTGCTTGGCCGGGGTGAGCTGGCGGAACGGGCATGTTGCAGCCGCGGTGAGGGGCGCCGCGGAAGCCTGGGCAGGCCGACCCTGCGCGGAAACTTCCGGCCAAGGTGGTGGCCTAGCGGCCCGGGGCGGTGGCGCCTGCTGGATGGCCACCGCACGATGCTCGAACGCGCGGGCGTAGTACATGGCCGTCTGGAGGTCTTGTGGCCCGCGCATCTCCACGTCCACGCGGATGTGGTCCGTTAGGCCGCCGACGAAGAGCTCAGCCCACTGACGAGCCAAAACGCCGGGGGCGTGGCACGCCAGTGCCTGGAAGCGGTCGGCGAAGTCTTGCACTGAGGTGAGGAACGGAAGACGCCCAAGCTCCGCCAGACGGCTCCCGCCTATAGGCGGACCGAAGCACAAGAGGCACAAATCACGGAAGCGCTCCCATGGTGGCAATGCCGCCCTCGTCCTGTTCGAGGACGTAGTACCACGTCTGCGCGACTACTCGGAGATGATACGAGGCGATCCAGGTGCGGTCGGACACGAGCGTGCGCTGTCCCCTGAAAAATTGGTCGCGTTGGTTGAGCCAATTCAAGGGGTCGACGGTGCCGTGGTAGGTCGCGAACTCCAGCTTGGAGAATCTTGGCGGTGTCTGGACATGGACGACAGGCAAGTGCACCTCGTCAGCACGGAGCAGCGAGGATGACAGGGCCGAGTAGGCGGGCATCAGGGTGCCGCCCTGGAACAGGGGCCCGTCGACATTGGAGAAGGGCTCGGCGGAGCCCGAGGACCCGCCAAACTACATGGCCGGGTGCGTCACCGGCGGGGGTAGCACGTGCGGCCCGACCGAGGCCGTCGTGTAGACCGGCTCAAGGGACCCAGCGAGCCAGGCCGGTAACGGAGACGGCGACGAGGGAAACCGGACCTGGTGGATGGGCACCCCCAGGCCCATCGCCGGGATGCCCAGGGCCACGGTCGCCAGTGGCGGCAGGTGCGGCTGTCGCCCCTGCTGCATGGTGGAGGCGCAGGGGTTCGTCACTGGTGGCGGCTGCCACGGCAGCTGCTGCATGGCGGCGGCGACGGGGGTCGGCGAGGATGGCGGTTGCTGCTGCGGCGGGGCGGTGGCGAAGGGCACCGGCAGCTGCAACCCATAGGATCTCGCGAGGAACGTGTAGATGCCCGTGACCGCCTGGGTGAGATCCCGGATGGCAGCCGTCATCTCCTTCGGGGTGAAGACGACGGGGACAGGCGCGGCGGAGGTGACCGGCACCGCCAAGAGCGGGGCGCTGGCCATGGTGGCCATCGGGGCGGTCGTCGCGGTCGGCAGCGGGAGGGTCAGGGTGGGTGGTGGCGAGGACATGATCGCACCAAAGCTATATGATACCAAATTGGTACGAACCGGATCCCTACCAGGGCGTGGTCTTAGGTTGTAGGGGTGGAAAGAGGGATGACGTGGAGGAAGGCATGGTCGCAGGCGTTGGGGCGCCGTCGTTGCGTGCGCGCACGAGAGAGAGAGAGAGCGCAGGGGCGGCGGCTAGGGTTAGGTCTCCCGGCTCCCTAAGGAAGCCGAGCAAATATGATTGCTTCTTACTTAATCCCAAAACGGGTCCTTAGATGAGTTTATATAATCCTCCTAATAAGATAATTGGGCTAAGCCCCTAATAACAATAAGATAAGCTGGGCCACAACTAACTGGGCTAAGCCCCTAATATGCCGGTCATAACATCATCCCCAAAGGTTTTTATTCTTCAAGCTGTCGTTCCAATATGTTGGTTAGATTGTTCCAATCCCTAGCTCTTGCAGCCACAAATCTTATTGTCATCCAAGATAGAGAAATCTTGAGAGAGCCTATAATGCTACATAGAGAAGAACTTGTGTCCCACATTTGATAATAGTGATAGAAGATTAGGGTGGCTTCGGCTCATGATTTTTACCCCAACTTGGGTTTTTTGTGTAAATATCTGGTGTCTCGATGTGTTGATATTGCTATTGCAGTTCAAAGGTTCTCTTGACTTGAACAATGATTAATTGTTGTGTGGGTTGCTTCCTCCGTATAGGTTGTTGCATATGTTTCCTTCCGTGCTGAGCAACGACCCTTGCGTTAGTACATTAAGTGGTGCAGAGATTATTTTGTTTCTGCTGCAGTTTTAAACCATAAGTATGCTAATTCACAACAAAGTGCTATCAGAAATAGGTTTCCCAGGAGGTTTGCTTATCCCGGTTGCTTGTTTGTTATTGGAGTTGCTGCTCACAATGTCCATGGAATAAGGTGCCACAAAAAGTGGCATGATAAAACTCGGTTCTTCTGAGTACTCTCTAGGGAAGCCCATGATGTAAGACATCCTTTACTGGAAGGATTTGTATGAGCCAGTTGTGAAAGATAATATACCTACCGGTGTCATGGAAGAAGAATGGAGAGTGTTGAACCGAAAAGTGGTATATATGATTCGTTTGTACATCAATTGTAATATATTCCACCATGTTGAAAATCAAACAAACATGTATGAGATGTGGCAGAAGTCGGAATCCATGTATGAGAAGAAGAATCCATGAAGGCCTCGGTAGTCAAAATACTTGCAAAGATTGAGTGCCGAGATGGCAGCAGTGTGATTGAGCACTTGAATGTCTTCCAATGCCATATAAATCAACTCTCGGCCATGAAGATCAACTTTGAGGACGAGGCACAATCATTATTGTTGTTGAGTTCCATGCATGATAGTTGGAACAACCTCATCATGTCACTTGGCAATTGAGCTCCGCATGGTAAGCTGATATTGGAAATGGTGAAGAACAATATGTTGAATGAAGAAGACAAAAAGAAGGAAAAGGGTGAGAATGACGCCTCTTCTGTTGATGCGTATTTGGCTAAAACCCATGGGAAGAAGGAGAACTGTGAACGCAGTCATGCACGATTTCAGCAAGGCATGGGTTAATCCAGGGTGATCAAAGTCAAGATAGAGAAAGAGTTCACTTCCTTTCATTGGGGTAATTTGGGAACACAAGAGTGGTTGCAAGAAATACAAAAAAGAGCTTGCAGAGGGTAAACATGCAAACAAAATTGAGCAAAAAGCTAAGAAACTCGACCATGATTGCACAAGATAAGGACTATTTAGTTATTGAAGATGAAGAATTTTATAATGTTGTTCGTGATGATGCAATGAGTCGTGGATTCAGGTTCGTCCTTTCACATTACATCACACAAAGAGTAATTCAAATCCTAGACTAGTGGCATTACTAGCCAAGTGAGGATGGGAAATAATGGTTCGTCCACCATTCGTTAACACAGGATGCAGGTTGGTGCTCGATGACGTGAGACATGTTCCAGATATAAAGTAGAATCTATTATCTGTGGGCAAGTTTGATTGTATCAACATAGGGTTGTTGGAGACATGCCCTAAAGGCAATCTGATGATGATTATTTACTTATGTATTCATGAGTTATTTGTATTTTCCTTGAACAACATCACTGATATGTATCAATAAGTATGTGACTTGTTTGTGAGACTATATATTATATGATGCTTTTTTTAATGGTCCATGGTCGGTAAGGTTATGCAGACACACACCCTTTGACTAGTATATGATTCGGTTGATGACTATGTTTCACAAGTCATGGGCATAGAGATGCCAACCCGATAGTATGGACTCATGGATGGAGATCACCGAGCGGACAAACCCATTATGAGACGCAATGAGACCCACTACGAGACGCAATGAGATCAGGGGCGGAGCCAGGAATTAGATATAGGGGGCGAGTCAGAAATTTAAATTTTCACAGCCCGCGACGAGTTATAAATGACTTCCTTAAACAATTATTTTCACAAATAGAATCTAAAGCTTAGCTCGTAAAATATTGTACTGAAGATAGATCAAACATACAACTAATAAATTTAATTATAAAATAGAAGGATATCAATAAGCAGCAATGTTTATTGGGTTTTAAAAGAAACTTCTAACCGGTAAAAATTAACATATCGTCTTACATGCTTGACTAATAGGCTGCTAGGTAGTAATCCATAAAACAGACTGAACTA